TGCCATCTTTCGAAAACTTTTTTCTGTACTTTTACCTTCCTATCGATTGAATTTGCACAGTTTAATGTTCTTTTGCAGTTACATGCTGGCGACGATTCGTCCTCTAATGCAGGCTTCAGGAACAGTAATCAGCAGACCATATCACTTATGATCTTCTTTCTTATCTACATATTATTTGGTGCATTAATGGTCACTAGTTATGAGCCCGATATGGACTACTTTAAAGTTGGTGCACTTACTGATCAGAGTATATGCGACCACGCGAACGGATGTATTCGATAATTGTTTCAACATCCATCTTAAGTTTATTTCCCTGTTCATTATCGCAGACAAATGGTCGAGCTTTTTGCAATCACTACGGCTGCTAAAATTGCGTTCTTATTAGAGCCATGAGCTGAGTGAATTTCAATAGCAGCAGCGCTTCGAAGTGAATATGTCTCAACTAGTGTGGTGCACGGATCGGAGAATTTCGGCGACCCTGTCCACGACTTTCTGCGAGCCAACCATATTCTCGGGGTCTCCGACTGCAAAATTCCGTCCCCGACTTTTTTCTGTCCCAGCACCACACTATTCTTAACTGCGTAAGATAGATACATCTAATAAGACCTGCAACGTACGACGGAGATATTTGCAATGTCCTTAATGTTCTCATATGCCGCGCTCTTGGTTGAGATGCTCGTAAACTGTTCTATGCGACTGCATGAGAGTGACCTGGCCAGATGAGCACTTATTATATTGTGGTATCGAATTTCATTGATGTGATGTGGAATTTGCTTGGATCACTTGAGCATATTGAAATTATGCGATGAATAAGAATGTTTCGTGCAATTTCAGGCAATATATTTCAATTTTGTAACGTTGACTACAATTGGACTCGGAGATATCGTTCCGAAAAGGTAAACAAACATCATTAGCAGTATTCACTGAATAAGATATCATAGCAAGATTGAAAATGAATGCAAAAGGCAGCACTGAGAAATGCCGTAAAAAAGAAGAGTAGTCGCGCAATTCGGAGAAAGTCTCAGAAACAGTCGCACGAGAAAATGAGGTTATTCCAATTGTGGGTCCATAGGAAGTGTCCGAAATAAATACGTGACTGATTCAGTGAAACGTTCATGCTATTTACGATCATCTACATCATCGTTGGACTTGCAATAACGACTATTGCCATTGAAATCGCAGCCGATGCGCTCAAGAAGTTGCACTACTTCGGCAGAAAAATCGAAAACGTTGCTCACGTACCAGTTTGGTTTGGTTCCAAAAAGTTCGTTCGGGATTTCACTCGTTTCCTGGCTAAGAATTCCATTTTTGTTGCTGCGAAACTAATTTGCAAGTATGCGCTGATTATAGTATGAATCATGACTTCATCGTTGTAGACTTACAATGAGGCAGATCATTCGAAATTTTGGTGATCAGTTCAACCTACCGGCTGCAAAGGTTCAAGCACTTGATTTGGATCACTTTGTTGATCAGGCGATTAAGGTGGAAGCTGGTGAAATACCGTCGTTGAGGGTTAGTCTGTTTATTCTTCACCAAGTGATGTTCCTATTGGAATTCGCTGCTTAGGCGTAAATCCTGCAAAGTGAACTCACTTTTCAACAATATCAACCCCTTATTGTTAGTGTAACATCATCAGTGCAGTGCAGATCAGTCGAAATAGATAGAGATCAATCATGATCTTTAATTTTCTGTTGTAAAATATAAACAATTACTTTCTCGAACACAAAGTAATTCTTCCGTCATTTGTATTGTGCATCTTTGACGAAAACTGAAGCAATATTTTGCAGCCGACGGCATTGAGCGAAAACAATTTTCTACTTGAAACGGCTGTCAACTTCGCTGATGACGGTAAGCTCTCGTTGGCACGCTTTTAGATGGGACGTAACTGCGATTAAGTCAAACCGATTATGCACGCACCTAGGCGATGCAAACCAGCTGCAGCACAATTTGCCATTGTAGGAAGCGAACGCGCAATCCGGACGATTTCTTCGCACCCCAAGCGTTTATTGTGCGCCACTGTAGCACTTTTCTTGTTCATGCGCGATCATTCGAATATGATGCACTGATTTTCGCCGCATGCAATTGAAGCTGTTAAAAACGCTTGGCCACATAGTCGTCAACCACAGTCGCTCCTCGTCGAGCATGCGTTTGATCTGTTGATGCGGAACAACGATCGCAGCCGCGCTTGATAAACAGTTGATAAAGCAAAGACTGATAAGTGTTGTTATTTGTGCTGCAGATACTGACGAAGATTCTTCGTAAGTGGAAGGAAATATGATTCTATCGAACAAAAATCCACAACGTCTTCGAATTCTTCGAATTCATCACCGAATCCAACCGAAAAAATTCGACATTTTAATCTAAACTTCAGTGAATGTAACATAAGGCCATGACGCAATTTGTTCAACGACTGCAAGC